GGGGGGGGGGGTTACCATGATGGATGTGAGGATCTCCTGCATGTTGATGGGGGCGGTGGGCGCCGGTCCCTGGGGGGTTTTACCGGCCCCCACGCTCCCCATCAGGTTGGCCAACACCGGCGGGAGTTTGGCACCACTGCCAGCGGCATCCGGGGAAGGTGAAGCAGCGCCGGCTTCCAATCCTTCAGGATAAACAACTTCCTCGGTGGAGCAGTCCTGGCGAGGGGAGAGAGAGGGGTGAGGGGCGAGGGGTTGGAGGGGGGGTACGGGGAGGGGGGGAAGCTACGGCGGCGCTTACCTCGTCCAAGGGGATCAGTTTGGGCGGCAGCGGTTCATAGGATTCCGGATCGGGTTCGTGAGGGCTGTCGGGGACGCTGTTGGTGAGGGAGGGGAAGGAAAAGGGGAAAGGGGAGGGCGTCAGAGGTTGGTGGATCCCTGGGATCTGGTGCTATCGTCCCGCTCCAAGTGGGATCCTCGAGGATCTGGATACCCAGCAGCCTCCCCCCCCCCCCAACTCTAGATTCTCAAATCCTGGGTGTACACCAAAGACTTTGGATCCACAGGGATCTTGTCGTTGTCCCCCAAAAGACTTGGCATCCTCAGGGATCCTCCAGGCTCCAAAAGGCTCCTCCAGGCACTAGATCCTTGGGGATCCCGGGAGATTCAGGCTTACAGCAATCTGCTCCCCTCACTCGGATTTGGATCCGTGGGGAGCTGAGCCCTTGAAACCTCTACCTTGGCTCTGAATCCTCAGGGATCCCAGGGGATCTGGGACCTGAAAACTTCTCCCCCACTCCAGCTCTGGATCCTTGGGGATCTGGGCTCCAACAACCTCCCCCTGGGCTCAGGATCCTCAGATCTGGGACCTGAAAACCTCCCACCAAGGCTCTAAATCCTCAGTGATCCCAGAAGACTTGGGGCCCAGCGGTCAGCTCCACCTTTCAGATCCCTGAAGATCCCAGAGGATCTGGGCTCCAGCAACCTCCCCCCAGGCTCCGGATCTACAGAGATCCCAGGAGGACCCAGACTACAGCACAGTCTCTGCCTAGCCCCTGTATCTCTATAGATCCTCACAACAGAGACGATTGAGCTTCCAACCCTATTGATCCTGGGGGGCCAGGGCTCCCACAACCCCCTCCATGAGATCCACAGGGATCCTGGGGATGCCTGGCTCTGGATCCTGATGGATCCCAAGGATCTGAGCTCCAGGTACATCCCACAGCCACTAGCACAAGGATCCCTGGGGCCGCACCATGAAGATGCCTTGCACGTGCCCGATCCCCAGGAATCCCCCGAGCCCACTGGGTGGATTGAGAGGATCTGGGCTCCCCCCAGGCTCCAGATTCTCTGGGATAATCCCAGCTCCATCACCCTCCCACAGCCCACATGCCATCTCCATCCAGGATGTCTCTGCTGATCCTCACACCAGGGAAAATCAACCCCCCCTTGATCCCACAGGGTGCTGGGGATCCCCTGCAGCCCTGATCCAACGGATCCCCGGGGCGATCCACTCCCCAAGGAGACCTGAAGAGGAGGGGGTGGGATTTGGCACCCCGTTGCAAGGAGAGAGGGAATCCACAGTTCTGAGTCTGGTATCAAAGGCGGGAATAGAGAATCCCAAGGGATCTACTCACCTCTCCTTGGACAGAAAAATCTCCTGCAAGATGCCCTTCTCTCTCTCAGCCTGAGTGAAGCGTTCCCGGCTGCCGCTGCCTGGCACCACGAGGGGAGCGGGGAGATCGAGAAGTTTGGGATAAACCCAGGGCACCTTCTCCTCCATGGCGTCGTGGCTGAGGCGCCTGGCCGTCTCAAAGGCATGGCGATCCATCAGCATCTCCCGCTTGGCCGCTTCCCCAAAATCCTTGATCTTGTTGACATTGACTGCCGGGAGGGAGGGGGACAACAATGTCACCCCCAAAAGTTTGGGGACACCAAGGAGGGAATGGGGGACACACAAGGAAGAAACAGGGCTCACCTCGTTCAGTCTCGTCCAGTTCGAAGTAGAAGTATTCACGGAGTTTGCTTTCCTCCGGCCAACTCACTGTTTTCTTTTTCCGACCTTTTTTAGTGAGCTGGCTGCTTTCCGACGCGTTTTCCATGGCTTTGGTGTCACCGCTCACCTCCGCCGAGCCTGTGGGAGGAACCGGAGGGGGTTCAGCACCCACCTTAACCCCCACACACCCGTGCTTTTCCCCCTCCTGGTTACCCCAACTTACAAGTCTCCATCGGTTCTGGCACTTCCACAGCCGGTACTGGCGTGCCAGGTCGATCCGTCTCCATCGGCTCCGAAGAGGCAGTGGGCTCCGGGGAAGAAGGTTTGGTGGAGCTTGTTTCAGGAGCTGGCTTCCCCTCGAAGGGGCTGGGCTGGAGGGGGGGAGAGAAGAGGGTGGTTATTATTGGGGGGAGGGTCTCTAGACAAGGAGGGGAGCCCAATATTCGGGGAGAGGATGTCGATATCCAGGGAGACTCCTCCTCACCTTGGCCGCCGTGGGGGACAACACCTTCTTCTTCTTCTTAATCTTAATGCCGGGGATGGGAGCGGAGTTGAGCGCATCGAGGAAGCCAAGTCCTTCCATAGCTGCAAGAAGGAGGAGAGGTGTCACCCAAAACCCCCTAATTGTCCCCAAAAAGGCAGCCAAGGGTCCCCAAAAAGGCACCTAAAAGACCCCCAGGTGTCCCCTCCTACTCACGCTGGGGTGGGATGATCTTGACTTTGATCTCCTTGGTGGCATTGGGCGCCGTGTTCAGGGGTTTGTATTTCTTCTCTGCAAGAGGAACATCTCCAGGAAGGGAGGAGATGCTGCAGCAAAGGGGGGAAAAGCAGGTCAGATGCCAGGAAGGACCCCCAAAACAGCCCAACAGCCCCCCCAAATCAGCCCCAAGACACTCAAAAGCAGCCTCCAAGCCCCCCAAAAACAATCCGAGCCCCTCAAGAGCAGCCCCAGACTCACTTTTGCCTCTTTATGGGCATCGGTTTCAGATTGTATTTATCAGTGGTTGAAGAAGAGTTCATTTTCTTCACGGGCGCTAACGAAGGTGTCTCCATTTCCAGCCCTGTTCGGAGCAGAGTGGGGAACATCATTAGTGCATCCCCTTGCAGCATCCCACAATAGAGCACAGCCCCTCAAATTCCCCCTAAACAGCCCCAAAACCTGCCGTCGCCCCATGGGACGGAGGGGGAATTACCAGTGGAGCGGAATTTGGCATGGCTGGGAGCGGTAGTGCGCAGGGATTTGGGTTTCTCCCGCTTCTTCTCTGGCATCTCCTCGGCTTTAATCTCAGTTTTGACTTCTTGGGTTTTCTCTTGGACAGGTGTCCTGCTTTTGTTTTCCTCTTTCCGCTTCTTTTTATCCCGTTCTGGGGGAAAAAAGATGGGAAAATGGTAAGACAGCAGTGTTGGATTGAGGAGGGGGAAGAACAGGGGGCACAGAGCGGGGCTCACCAGTCGGCTGGGCGCTGCTCTGGGAGCGGATGACACCCATCCAGTCACTGACGAGGATGGAGGCAAGGCGGCGCAGCTCTGTGGGGCAAGAAGGGGTTAAAGGAGGAATTTGGGGGGTGGGATTCAGGGGGTTTTGGGGGCATGCAGGAGAGCGTTCACCTTCATCGTCGCTTGACTTGCTGAGCTGCTTCACCAGCTTGGCTGTATTGTTCTGGAAGGGATAGAGACATGAGCTGAGTGGCAGCGTGCGGGATTACACAAAAACCACCCCAGGGACATAAAAGCCATCTTGGCGGGGAGGGGGGGGACGGGACACGGGACGGACGACAAAAGCCAACTGGGGGACCCAAAAGCCAACTGGGGGACCCAAAAGCCACCCAGGAGAGACAAAATTCACCCTGGGGGACACAAAAGCAACCCTGGGGGGTGACAAAAGCCACTGGGGGGGGGGCTATGACACGGAGGCCACCCCGACCTGTTTGAGGTGGTCGACGGTGAGGGGCAGGTGCTGCAGTGTGAGAAGGATCTGCTGCAGGAAGGGTACGTTGTTGGAGGCTTTGGAACTGGTGAGCCATGTGTTGAGCAGCTTGTAACCCCCAATCCGGATAAATCTAGGGAAAAAAGAGGGAAAACCTGTCAGGATCCAGCCAGAACGGGGTAAACCCCCCAATTCCTGCTCCCCCTGAACCCCCCCAGACCCCCCCCCACTGCTCTTACTTAGCCAGGATGTCCTGCGCCCGCGTCTGCAGCAAGATATTCAGGTAGATGCAGCGACTCACCATCTTCTGCGAGTCCTTCATTAAACTATTTAATGAGAAATAAGGCGTCAGACACCCCCCCCCATGTCATGGTGACACTGGGGGAGGGACACGTGGGGACATTTTGGGGGACTCACTTGAAGATTTTGGTGATGCCCTCCATGCTCTTGACCTCGCCATCGCGGCCCAGGAAGCAGTCCAAGCCCTTGAGGAGCTCCTTGGGGTCGATGGGGCCCGAGCCCATGGCAGAAAAGCCCTGGGGGTGGGGGG